GTTATAGCAAGTGATGTGGATAGCGGCTGTCACGGTTAGGTTATAGCAAGTGATGTGGATAGCGGCTGCCACGGTTAGGTTATAGCAAGTGATGTGGATAACGGCTGTCACGTTTAGGTTATAGCAAGTGATGTGGATAGCGGCTGTCACGGTTATATTATAGCAAGTGATGTGGATAGCGGCTGTTACGGTTATGTTAAAGCCTGTTTTAATAGTACATTCTATGCTTAGAAGCGTGTCTCTTGGAGGTACTAAACATGACACAACAACCTTGAAATCTTCCATGAGTGTTTGTTGCTTCTTATTTTTTGTGGTAATTTAACCTCATAAGGAGGCTAACACTTGTGAGATGTTGGCCTTAACCTTGCAGATGGAACTTATTCTGGCATGGGTTAAATAAGATTGAAAATAAAATGTCTCTTACAGCCGAAAGTTGGATTTTATTTAGTTTTATAACGAATTTAAAGTCCCGTTTCAATATTAATGTATTTTAACACGTGGTTCTTTCTGTTGACCGTTAGTACTACAACTGATTCATGAAAAGATATGATCATATGGTGATCTCAATGTATACAGGAGATGAGGCTGCCTCACTGGGGCTGAGAGGGAATCATAATGTATACAGGAGATGAGGCTGCCCCACTGGGGCTGAGAGGGGATCATAATGTATACAGGAGATGAGGCCGCACCACTGGGGCTGAGAGGGAATCATAATGTATACAGGTGGTGAGACTGCCCCACTGGGGCTGAGAGGGAATCATAATGTAAACAGGTGGTGAGACTGCCCCACTGTGGCTGAGAAGGAATCATAATGTATACAGAAGATGAGGCTGACCCACTGGGGCTGAGAGGGAATCATAATGTAAACAGGTGGTGAGACTGCCCCACAGGGGCTGAGAGGGAATCATAATGTAAACAGGTGGTGAGACTGCCCCACTGGGGCTGAGAGGGAATCATAATGTATACAGGAGATGAGGCCGCACCACTGGGGCTGAGAGGGAATAGTAATGTATACAGGAGATGAGGCTGCCCGACTTGGGTTGAGAGGGAATCATAATGTATACAGGAGATGAGGCTGCTCCACTGTGGCTGAGAGGGAATCATAATGTATACAGGAGATGAGGCTGTCCCACTGGGGCTGAGAGGGAATCATAATGTATACAGGAGATGAGACTGCCCCACTGGGGCTAAGAGGGAATCATAATGTATACAGGAGATGAGGCCGCACCACTGGGTCTGTGAGGGGACCATAATGTATACAGGTGATGAGGCCGCACCACTGGGGCTGAGAGGGGACCATAATGTATACAGGAGATGAGGCTGC